AACCAACTGAGCTACAGAGAGACAGTTGTTGAGCTCTAACCAAGTGAGCTACAGAGAGACAGTTGTCGAGCTCTAACCAACTGAGCTACAGAGAGACAGTTGTCGAGCCCCAACCAACTGAGCTACAGAGAGACAGTTGTCGAGCTCTAACCAACTGAGCTACAGAGAGACAGTTGTCGAGCTCTAACCACCTGAGCTACAGAGAGACAGTTGTCGAGCTCTAACCAACTGAGCTACAGAGAGACAGTTGTCGAGCTCTAACCAACTGAGCTACAGAGAGACAGTTGTCAAGCTCTAACCAACTGAGCTACAGAGAGACAGTTGTCGAGCTCTAACCAACTGAGCTACAGAGACAGTTGTCAAGCTCTAACCAACTGAACTACAGAGAGACAGTTGTCAAGCTCTAACCAACTGAGCTACAGAGACAGTTGTCAAGCTCTAACCAACTGAGCTACAGAGACAGTTGTCAAGCTCTAACCAACTGAGCTACAGAGAGACAGTTGTCAAGCTCTAACCAACTGAGCTACAGAGAGACAGTTGTCAAGCTCTAACCAACTGAGCTACAGAGAGACAGTTGTCAAGCTCTAACCAACTGAGCTACAGAGACACAGTTGTCGAGCTCTAACCAACTGAGCTACAGAGAGACAGCTGTCGAGCTCTAACCAACTGAGCTACAGAGACAGTTGTCGAGCTCTAACCAACTGAACTACAGAGAGACAGTTGTCAAGCTCTAACCAACTGAGCTACAGAGAGACAGTTGTTTAGCTCTAACCAACTGAGCTACAGAGACACAGTTGTCGAGCTCTAACCAACTGAGCTACAGAGAGACAGCTGTCGAGCTCTAACCAACTGAGCTACAGAGAGACAGTTGTCAAGCTCTAACCAACTGAGCTACAGAGAGACAGTTGTCGAGCTCTAATCAACTGAGCTACAGAGAGACAGTTGTCGAGCTCCAACCAACTGAGCTACAGAGAGACAGTTGTCGAGCTCTAACCAACTGAGCTACAGAGAGACAGTTGTCGAGCTCTAACCAACTGAGCTACAGAGAGACAGTTGTCGAGCTCTAACCAACTGAGCTACAGAGGCCAGTTGTCAAGCTCTAACCAACTGAGCTACAGAGGCCAGTTGTCAAGCTCTAACCAACTCAGCTACAGAGGCCAGTTGTCAAGCTCTAACCAACTGAGCTACAGAGAGACAGTTGTCAAGCTCTAACCAACTGAGCTACAGAGAGACAGTTGTCGAGCTCTAACCAACTGAACTACAGAGGCCAGTTGTCAAGCTCTAACCAACTGAACTACAGAGGCCAGTTGTCGAGCTCTAACCAACTGAGCTACAGAGGCCAGTTGTCAAGCTCTAACCAACTGAACTACAGAGGACAGTTGTCAAGCTCTAACCAACTGAACTACAGAGGCCAGTTGTCGAGCTCTAACCAACTGAACTACAGAGAGACAGTTGTCGAGCTCTAACCAACTAAGCTACAGAGAGACAGTTGTCGAGCTCTAACCAACTGAACTACAGAGAGACAGTTGTCGAGCTCTAACCAACTGAGCTACAGAGAGACAGTTGTCGAGCTCTAACCAACTGAGCTACAGAGAGACAGTTGTCGAGCTCTAACCAACTGAGCTACAGAGAGACAGTTCTCGAGCTCTAACCAACTGAGCTACAGAGAGACAGTTGTCGAGCTCTAACCAACTGCGCTACAGAGAGACAGTTCTCGAGCTCTAACCAACTGAGCTACAGAGAGACAGTTGTCGAGCTCTAACCAACTGAGCTACAGAGAGACAGTTGTCGAGCTCTAACCAACTGAGCTACAGACAGACAGTTGTCGAGCTCTAACCAACTGAGTTACAGAGGCCAGTTGTCGAGCTCTAACCACAAGTTCATGTATAAATACTAAGGTGATATACCAATGTGGTATGACATATTTCATAAAAGATTAAAAGACAATATCCTACCAATGCATCTGCGAGCTGTTCAATCATTTTCCCAACTGTATCTTCTTTTAGTATTTTAAACATTCTGTAAGAGATGAACCATATAAGTCAGGAAAATTTAAGTTGGACTATAGAAAACCTATATTTGTTTCCGGTATATAGTTGTAATACTTACTTCGACGATTGTTTTTTGGAATCAAACAGATCGTGTCCCTGATGTCCACAAAATTGATCTTCCGTGATTACCTGGAACGTGTTTAAAACATCGACGTAACATATTTGAGACACTGGCGTCATGCAGAGCCTGGAATAACAGGCATCGGGCATTTTCTAACCAAATCACAGTTTTTCGGACTCGGGCATTGTGTTGGGACAAAAAATGGCAATCAATCTTCTTGAAAGACTGGGTTAACCATTCTTTCAAGAATGGTTAATGTTCTTTGCAGGAGGAAAGAACATTTTCGTAAAGAGCATTAGGCGTTTAACTGTACTGGCTAGTGTTTGGCATAAAGTATTATTTTAAATATTGTATAGTGTTCGATATTTTGCGTTGGTGTACCTCAACATTCATATACAGATGCGCCTCACTTCTTTCCTTCCTTCTCTGAGCTTCTAGACGTCTGTGGAGGAAATAACAATTTGAGATAAACGAAGAATTCAGACAAAATATTCATGTTGAAAAGCACAGAAGCGTGTTGGTGACGCGCTTTAAATTTGACCAAAGATTTATTAAGTATTTGAGGATAATTTTCCTTTCCAGAATTTGGGGCGTCTATTTTTCTGTGGGGCGTCCCGAGATGCCCTTCTGGCTAAAAACCAGGACTTACTTTTCTTCTTTTAGTTTTTCTTCCAGTTCTTTAGGAATTTCAGTAGCACTTGTATCAAGGACATCGTCTATAAAACACCAAGTTGGATATACAGTGAAAGTAAAGTACAGTAAAGTTGGTAGTCTCATTATCCATTCACGCAACCAAGTGTTAAATTGCAAGTAAATTTCGCGAGTAGACATACCTAAACAGCTGTCCTTGATGTAGACCAACATATATGCATTTGTACAATATTTTACAGATATATCATCCTGAAAATAGAATTACAACATTATCAAATAACCGTATTTTGTAATCACTATTCGTGATAATTCTGCTCGTATAATAGGAGGTTGTGACAAATTAATAACATACATCGTATCCTCCAAAATTATGGTCAACTGCTTCTTGCTTTGAGGCCTGTTTTGTAGAAAGAAATTGGAAAAGATGTTCATGGAATCTTATACACTGTATTACCCAAATCAACCATCGTAATACGACCGAGTTTCAATTTCATTGCTCAGTTTTTCTGAAGATAATAAAACACCCCCTTACCAGTGAAACGACATCATCATCAAATTTACACCACTGCAAGTGATAAATAAGAAAAGTGTTCAGAGTAGAAAAGCAATGATTTAAATGTTACAACTCAAAGAAAATTGTCCACTGTACCTTTCCGTCACCTTTGGGATTAATGTATACAACATAATGTCCACCATGATTGTCGCCTGTAAAATATACAGTTTCATTTGTATAGGTAATAGTATGATTTCAAGTGTACTTTGGGAAAAAACATGCACGAGTGAGTTTTTCAAACCATATCAAAAACTCACGAGTGTATGTTTTTTCAAATTGCACAAGAAACCATACTATTACTTATTAATAATGTACACGAAAAAATATACAGTCACGTGCATGGTCGGATTTTGAGGGGAGGTGTGGGGAGGTGCGCACCTCCCCTGAGATCGTTTTGCACCTCCCCTGAGAATATTTGCTCCTCCCCTGAGAATTTTTGCTCCTCTCCTCAGAAGTCATGCACCTCCCCTTGGGGAAGTTTCAATGATAGATGAAAGTGAAAATTTGACTTTTTTGGTTGCTTAGGGTCTACACTTCGTAAGAAGACAACATGATAGCTATTCATCTCTGTGTCAAGTACCCTTTTAATGCAATGTTTTGGAAAAAAATTTGTAGTAATTGTAATGAACGGCAAAATTGGATGAGTTGTACAGTCATAATTCATTAATACACTGATACATATGTGCACTACTACATGCATACGTCTCTTGACTTTGGCCCGTTCTAAGCCCTAACTTTCCATGGGGATCGTTACGGGGTTTTTTTCCACCTCCCCCACTATTTCCACTAAAATCCGGACTAGGTCACGTGCACAAGTCACACTTAGAAATTAAGAAATTTGAAACGTCACACAGTCACGTGCTGTGACGCTTCTCAATCTTACCAATACTGCCCATCACTTACCACTATGTACAAGAACAGCATGCAATGTATACGAAGCTTGCGTCTGCCGCGATTCTTCAAGAAAACTACTCAGGTCGATTTTTTCAAAAAATTCATATCTAGACAATGTAAATACAACTTTGACTAAATATTCAAGTATGGACCATATTAGGTAAACATTCTAGTATTGGTAGTGTTTTACACTGGATCAATAGAGAACCACCCTTACTGGACCTCTATGGAGAATATTTTAGAAATGACAGAGTCATTCAGCATAAATAAAGATATTTTTGTTTAGGTTTTCTCCCGTAGTAACACTGGATCAATAAGAGATGACCCTGACTGGAACTCTAGGGAGAATAATTTAATAGAACTGACAGAGCTATTCAGCATAAATAAAGATATTTTAGTTAAGGTTTCCTCCCATAGCAACAATGGATGGATGACCCTTAGGAAGAACAATCTTGGACGGATAGAGCTATCCAGTATGAATCAAGTTAGTTTGGTAGCTGTTCAAGCCAAGAATCTTACCTGTCATTAATTTTAACATTGGCATCTGTCATTGGATCATACTGAAATCTCATCAACTGGAGATGTAAAACTGTTGGCAAGGTGTGAAAGTAGACGCCTTTTTTTGCTTCCTAAATCAAACGCAAATACACAGAGTAAAACATTGGTCAAACGACGAGAGTTGATGAGAAAGTTTTCTTCCAACCAAACCTGCATTCCAAAATCCCCCGCATCATATTTATTGTCTCCGTCTAATGTTTCCACAGCGATATACTCTTTGAAGGATTCGTAAACTGAAAGAAACATACAACAGAGTTTAGTGATCGACCGATTGTCGATCATTCATGTCACATTCTCCCCAATTCCGGGTAATCGTTTCCATGTTTCGCGCACCATGCATGCAATATAGTAAACGTTATGTAATGGATATTATAGTGCACTGAAAGGTTAACTGGATACCTCCATACACATATATACACACCCTAACCCCTAACCTTAAACCTAACTCTAACCCCTAACCCTAACCTAATCCCTAACCCTAATACCTAACCCTAATACCTAACCCCTAACCCTAACTTACCCTAACCTATATTGGTGCGCGAAACATGGAACGATAACCCAATTCGGATTCTATAATGACGTCATAATACCAGTCGCCCGAGTGAAGGTGACGTCATTCATGTCGATTTCTTAACGATAATTTCCAACGTACAGTAACATATTACTGCAACCAAAGATTGTTAAAACCATTAATAAATGGCACGCTTCACGTACTAATTTAACATATTGCATGTATCAATGCGCATCAACGTGCAATGCATATAATTTTTAAAGTGCATATTTTCTCAACAATCGGTTTTAGACAATCGGAAATATAGATAATTCTACTGATTCCGATTGTCCACCGACAAGGCAAAAATCGGCCTCGGTCAATCACTAACAGAGTTGCAATAATGCGATGTAATAGCGTGTTTTTGAAGAGGTGCAGCGAATATATATCTACAACTCTCGAGGTTTAATTTTCTACCAACACTGGCCACTCTACTCATTGAGCTATCAAAAACTTACTGTCTTTTTTCCCTTTCACATTCAGTTGAACGTCATAAAACGATTCAATCCTAAACGAATGGAAAAACATCCATGAATTAGCACAAAATTGAGTAATTTGTAAACTCACACACTCGGGAACTTATTTAAAACACAAACTCACCGTGAAGAGACATAGTCGACACTTGTACATTTGATATACGACTACAACAACAAAAAAACTATGATTAAATACTAAACAAAAAGAAGTAAAATTTCACGACTGCAATGCAAACCTGAGGACCAACAGGAAGTAAAATCTACATGTATCCATCTAAGCTTACAACAACGCCAGAACAGACATGCAACAATGAAAAAAATTTCGAACACTACTTACACACATTTTTCCTTCCAAAAGTTTCGGTATAACACCCTAAAAAAAGAGGACATAAAGCTTTTTCTAATTTCAATGTACAGTTTATCACGAATGGCAGAATTTTCTAAATACTTTCCATTAACTGTTGAAAAGTTTGAAGCCAAAATTAAACATTACTTTATACCTCAACACACGTTCCTTTCATCTTGCTTTCCATGTTGTCAAGTAACTGTCAAAATATAACAACAAAATTAGTATCAACAATGATCCAAGAGTATTTAATTCAACCATGATTGAAATGTAAAGGTAGCAAATTGATTGTTTCTTACCACTCTGCACAATTCCTGCACATCATGTTGCATAAAGCTGTCAAGAGTTTCCCAACTGCAAATATACACATATACCTTCATCGTGGTCTGTACAGTACCAGTGACAAAATACTGAGGGTCAGAATTTATTTTTCAATACCCCACTGGGATACCAGGATTCAAAGTTCTAGTATCCCCCACAGGGTTTGAAATTTGCAGTATCCCAATATCCACGCGATACTAAAATTTGGTTTTGGATACCAAACTGTGAATGACTTGTATCTCAACTGGATACTAAGAAAATTTCAAACATTAAGAAAAATGTTTGTGTGATGTTACTCTGAGTGTATATCCACACCGGGCAGGCTTGAAAAATATGCCTGGCCTCGGCGGGATTCGAACCCCGAGGCCAGGCATATTTTTCAAGCCTGCCCGGTGTGGATATACACTCAGAGTAACATCACACAAACATCTTATTCACCTGAGTACATTACACCAACACAGCAGATTTCATAAATATTAGATTACACTGATATCGAAGGAACTAGACTCAGTTCCGAAATATCGCTTACTCGAACCGTCCTGACCGCGTAGCTCAGTTGGTGGAAGAGCATTGGGCTAGTATTCCAAAGGTCGTAGGTTCGAATCCCACCGTGGCCAGGCATATTTTTCAAGCCTGCCCGGTGTGGATATACACTCAGAGTAACATCACACAAACATCTTATTTACCTGAGTACATTACACCAACACAGCAGATTTCATAAATATTAGATTACACTGATATCGAAGGAACTAGACTCAGTTCCGAAATATCGCTTACTCGAACCGTCCTGACCGCGTAGCTCAGTTGGAAGAGCATTGGGGTAGTATTCCAAAGGTCGTAGGTTCGAATCCCGCCGAGGCCAGGCATATATTTCAAGCCTGCCCGGTGTGGATATACACTCAGAGTAACATCACACAAACATCTTATTCACCTGAGTACATTACACCAACACAGCAGATTTCATTAAGAAAAAGTTAACAGTCTCCTGATAGCTTTTGAATAATGTATGAGTTTGCCACCCAAGTCTTTCCTCATATTATGTGCATTTTAGTGTATTTAACGAATTGTCTAGTTGTTGACTGTTGACTGTTGAGTCTGCTGTTGTTATTGTAATTTGTAACAGTGAGAGTTATGGAAACTTATTTGGATGGAACAGGGTATAATACTTAAATTATATTAGAAAAAATTTAAATTTCAGACCTTGTCCTATCTGAGAATCCAGTGTCTCACTTCTGGATATTGGTAACTAAAATTTTGGCATCTCTGAACCATCAAAGTAAATATACAGTACATGTCTCTCATTGTTATAAATTACATGCAATAACAACAGGAGACTCAACAGTGAACAACTAGACCAGCTAAGTAACTCAAGTTCAGCATTGTACTGTACCTACCCAAATGATCTGGTTAGCTTTTTGGTTCCAACAGCTTTGTCACTAAAAAACAAAATTATAAGTACGTAAGTGGGGGTGTACTTAAATCAACAAGCTTTCGTTGGTAGGGATGTACCTGAAAAATATAAGGTGAATTTCAATGTTTCCAGCAAAGGCCCTTTGTCTAAAGTTACCAGTAGGGATAGAGTTACTAGCGAAATTCTCCTTATATTTTTCAGGTAGCTGCATACCTACCAACAGAATCTTCATAGGCGTACGGGACGGGCAGGGGCAGCTGCCCAAAAAGATTACAAAGTCGAAAAGTCGGGCAAATGTTCAACATAAGTCGGGCGAAGAGTGGGAAACTAAAAAGCCAAAAAAGTAGTCAAAGCAATCAAATCTCTCTTAATAATAACTTTAGTTAATAAGTATAAAATATTTAATATTGAAAAACTATAAAAACGTCCACTGTTGCATGTGCTTGAAAAAATTAATTCGAAACCCATGGTTGATGTAATATAATCGCGCTGTAAGGCGTATTACCGGGTGTGTGGGGGGCACAATATTGGGTTTATAGTATAAAAATAAATGGGACAAATTCTGTCAATTTTGTGGGAAATTCTGTCAATTTTGTGATGTTTGGAAAATTTGTTTGATATTCCGAAAAATTTTGGTATGTCCGAAAAATTTTTGGACCCCTAAAATGGTACACTGATCGATAATTGTTCCGGAAAAAAAATTTTTCGGCACTGGTCGGGCACAATCCGAAAAAGTCGGGCAAATTTCTTTCCGCCCCCCTAATTTTTTCCTTCCGGTACGCCCATGAGAATCTTGTTCATATTATTGGCACTACCCAACGTACCGTTAGGGATTATAACTTTACCTGAATTGCAGTTCATAAAACACTCTCTGTAAGTTGAATGCGACGCTCCTCTGTGGGTCATCATGAACAGTTGGCATGTGATAAACAGCCTAAATTGAAATACAATCAATCTATTAGCAAGACAAGCTTCTTCGCCTAAGTACTGTCTAGCCAGTCTAAGTTGCTCAGATGTAATTGATGGGTAAAATCATCTGGAGTCAGACAAAATAAAATAATAAAGTCAGGCACTTTCGGGTGCATTGCAACTTAATGGGTCAATCAGGGTCTGAAATACAATACATTTTTTACAACTCTCCCAAACGGGGCTTTTCAGAGCCAATCAACATATACAAAAAGTTATTTAGCTATACTAAAATGAAATTCAAACAAAGTAATTACTAATATGGATTTTAAAATTTTCAAAGGCTAAATGTAGGATCTAAAAGATATTTACGTAATTTATGTTTAAAAATATAAAAACTTAAATTTAAAATTTTTTAGTACCCATGCAAATTTATACAGAGAAGTACTGCAAATTTCAGATGCTATAGGTTAACAGCACCTACCGTTCTTAATTTATTCGTAAAAAACAAAGTTTGTAAAAGAGAGTTCATGTAACAAGTTGCTCCCTGGTTCTTCAATCCAACATAACCTGTATGTTTCTTAGAATCCCATCTGAAATTATATGCATAAGTACAAAAAATTAGATAAGTGGTATATTTACTGTCGTTCCAATTGAAGTGTTGCTCAAATATTGATTCAATACATTACCTAGGGCTGACCAATTCATTTGATCAAGTTCCTCGAGATATTGATACACTTCCTGTGAAAGAGCCAATTCCAAGTATTTGATCATTTCTGGTCACTTTCTTTCTATTTATGATTGGTTAGTTGCACAAACAACAAAGGTGATTGGTGCATTCAAACTATTCAACAGGAAGTTTACAATTATACTAGGAAGTGTATGAATATCTCGAGGAACTTGATCAAATGAATTGGTCAGCCCGAGGTATTGTATTGAATCAATATTTGAGCAACACTTCAATTGGAACGACAGTAACTGCAGTAAAGATTGTTTACCATTAAGGTCGATACTTACGCTACTCCATGCGGAGCTTCAGCAACAACGTGAGCCTCGACAATGATTGTGTCATCAACCAAAAATCCACTGTCTGAATTGAGGATTTCCTAAATAAAAACATAAGCAAGGCCTTAAATTATCTTCTAGGCACAAATTAAGTAATTAACCCTTATAGTGGCAATACGCACACAACTTTATTATTTTACTCTGTCTAACAACAGATTATTTTACTTATCAAGGGGTTAACCCATTTACTGGCAGTACTCTACCACTGACAAGTAAAATCATCTGGCATTAGACAGAGTAAATAAGCGCATTGCCAGTCAATGGGTTAATAAGAGACATTGGCAGATAACTTTGTTCGGTAAATCCATTTAATGGCAGTACCTATCAAAGACAAGTAAAATCGTCTGGCATTAGACAGAGTCAGTAAATGCTAAAGTAGGCGCAAATGGGCGCATTGCCACTCAATGGGTGAACATAATCTATGCATAAAACAGACAACCTAATGTATAAACATATATGGAAAAGGAGAACACTACATCTTACAATATTGACATGTACAGTATTTGTGGAGGTTCTTTATATTGCAAACTTTACAGTTTATACTTACACTCCATTCCTTGAAATTACTGAAGCCCCAGTCATTCTCCTTGGCAAAAAATAAATGTTGAATCTCTAAGCAAAAACACAAAGTACAAAATTAACCACAGCTTAACAAATTAAGCTTTATAGCAACAGCAAATGGTGGTGAAAACAAAGAATGCTAAAACTTATCAAGGTCGAGCAATCATCCGATAACTGTTGCTTGACCACCATTTGCGAAATGATAATGCTTTGTAAAAACCACTTTATTCAATGTCTGACAAAAATTAGCATTTATCATGAGTATTTACAGTAAATAATTTCACCCTAAACTTACTTTTCTTGAAAGATTTCTCCGGGAATTTTTGATTGACAAGCACCAACTGGGAAGTTGCATTACATGACCACGATCTATAGATAGAAATTTACTTTGGTTTTAGCACAGGATGTGGCATTGGGTCCTTCCAGAAAACATCCATACCTCCCCCACGGAAGAAATTGGGAATTAACCCCACCCCCTTTGGATGTCCTAATGCATTTACTATTATCAGAAAAATATTTTTGCTCCCCCACCCTCCAGATGCATGGCATAAATTTCCTCCGTGGGGGGG